CTTGAGCCCAGGAATTGGAGGTTGCTATGAGCTGTGATGCCACAGCACTCTACACAGGGGGACAGCTTGAGGCTCTGTCTCAAAAAAAAAAAAAAAGGCACATGCTTTTTGTTCAGTCCCCTAAATCAGTGGTTCTCAACCTTCCTAATGCCACGACCCTTTAATACAGTTCCTCATGTTGTGGGGACCCCCAACCATAAAATTATTTTGTCGCTACTTCATAACTGTAATTTTGCTACTGTTATGAATCCTAATGTAAATATCTGATATGCAGGACGTATTTTCATTGTTACAAAGGGGTCGCGACCCACAGGTTGAGAACCACTGCCCTAAATGTTCTCCAAGATAAATTACATATGTATTTACTTTCTTTATCTTTCATTCCCCTCTCCTGTCAGTCCTTGGTAACCTTTATATTTTCTGTCTATGAATTTACCTATTCTAGATATTTCATACATAGGTAGAATCATAACAACATTTGTCCTTGTGTATGTAGCTTTCTTAAAACTTGCTGTGTTTTCAGGATTCATCCCTATCAGAACTACGTGGCTCTTTATGGCTGATGATATCTTGTAGCACATTTTGTATATCTGTTCACCTCCGATGGACACTTAGGTTGTTTCTACATTTTGATTGTTATGAATAAATGCGATTGTGAACATTGGCATATAAGTATCTATTTGAATCTCTGTTTTCAGTTTTTTTTTAGTTATATACCCAAGGGTGGAATTATTGGATCATATGGTAATTCATATGGTAATAACTTTTTGTTTCCTTTTTTTTTTTTGAGACAGAGTCTCACTTTGTCTCCCTTGATAGAGTGCTGTGGTATCACAGCTCACAACAGCCTCAAACTCTTGGGCTCAAGTGATTCTCTTGCCTCAGCTTCCCAAGTAGCTGGGATAACAGATGCCCTCCACAATGCCCAGCTACGTTTTAGAGTTGGGGTCTCGCTCTTGCTCAGGCTGGTCTTAAACTCCTGAACTCCAGCAATCCACCCTCCTCAAGCCTCCCAGTTGTGTCTAAGTTTTTAAGAAACCACCAAACCATCTTCCAGATTGGTTGGACCATTTTACGTTCCTGTCATTAATACTCCACGGGTTCCAGTTTGGCCACATCCTTGCCTATGCTACTTTTTTTTTTTTTTAATAGTCATCCTAATATGTGTGAAGTAGTGGAAGTTTTTCGTTTTAATGAAGTAAAATTTATCTATTTTTTCTTTCATTTCCTACGCTCTGGCTGTCTTAAGAAACCATTGCCAAATCTAAATCATGCAGATTTTTTTCTTTTTTTTTTTTTCCCTAAGATTTTTATAGTTTTCACTTTTAAGTTTAGGTTCTTGGTCCATTTTGAGTTCATTTTTATAGAAGGCATAAAGTAAGGATTCAGATTAATTGTTTTGCCCATGGATATCCAGTTTTCCCAGTACACATATTTAGTTTTAACCCAGAAATCCCATTTGTAGGAATTTGTCTTAATGATGGACTGGCAAAAATATGAAAAGAAGTAGCAGAAGGCTATTCATTACAACCCTGTTTGTAATATTCAAAGACTCAGAGCAACCCAAATGTCCACCCGGAGAGGACCATTTGAATAACCGTAGTGCATTTATATAATGTACTGTGCAGCTGAGGTAGGAACAGGGATCTCTGGGGCATATTGTGAAGTGAAGAGAACAGGTAAAGGAAAGTACACGGTGTGCTGTAGTTTCCTGAAAGAGAAGGAAACACAAACACATGTATATTTTCTTACATTTTTAAATGGAAGGATAAACCATAATTTTTTTTTAATGCCAATGGGAAGGGATAAAACAGGATGAAGAGACGTGAGATTTTATAGATTTGCCTTTGAAACCTTGTAGGTATATTACATAATTATAAAACAAGTGAAATTTTAAAATGTAATTTTTTTTTTTTTTTTTGAGACGGAGCCCCAAGCTATCCCCCTGGGTAGAGTGCCATGGCATCACGCTCACAGCAACCTCCAACTCCTGGGCTCAAGCGAGTCTCCTGCCTCTGCCTCCCAAGTAGCTGGGACTACAGGCGCCCGCCACAACGCCTGGCCATTTTTTGGTTGCAGCCATCATTGTTGTTTGGCGGGCCTGGGCTGGGGATTTGAACCCGCCACCTTAGGTGTATGTGGCTGGCGCCTTAGCCACTTGAGCCACAGGTGCCGAGCCAAAATGTAATTTTTAAAATAGAAATGAAACAATGTGTCTATCAAGTTGGTCATATAATCAAATAGGGAGAAATTATTTTGAGTAATTTACAACAGTGATTTGAAAAACAAAACAAGCAAACCCAGATTTGACTGTTCAGTCCTGATGGGATAGACTTTGTGTCAGTTATCTTTTGTCACAATAATGCTGCTTAATAAACCACCCTGAAATCCATGGGTTGTTTTTTTGTTGTTGTTGTTTCATTTTGAGACAGTTTCACTTAGTCGCCCTGGGGTTGAGTGCCGCGGTGTCTTAGCTCACAGCAACTTCAAATTCTTGGGCTCCAGCAAGTCTCTTGCCTCAGCCTCCCGAGGAAATCCATGGGTTGTGAACAGCAGCGAGAGTGCTCACTCGTCTGCAGTTTTTCTGGACAGGTGTGCTGATCTGGGATGGGTGTGCTCGTTTTCCTAGGGTGTTCAAGATGAGCATCATTTATTCCACACCTTTATAGCAGGCAGAGGAGGCTGAGTTTGGGAAAGGAGAGAGACTTGCCTGATGGCAGAATCAGAGAGGACCCAGAGGAAAACCCAGACCATTAGGTAACCTGTTACACATTTCAAAGCTGGAGCCAGAGCCCAGAACTCCTCTTCACGCTGCACCGTGGAGTCAGAGGAAGAGGCTTTTCCTTCTTTACTGCTAGACAGATCCATACCCAAACTGGCCCTGCTCTCACGTTTACTTTCCCAAGCTTTTCTTTACACACATGAGGAGCTTTCAGTCAAGAGGTAGATCACGCACCTCTAGGGTGCGTTCTCATCTGAGCACAGGCGTGAGAGCTCAGACCTGGGGAGAGGTTTCCTCTCATCTGTCTTCACTGCTTAGCTGGAGCGCTGAGCTGGGGATTTCCAGGTCCTGCAAGCCCAGCAAGAGTGAGTGACAGCAGCAGCTGCCAGAGATGAGGGTGCGGGAAGGATGCAATACAAAGGGTGTCTTTGCCATCACCGACTGAACAGTGTTAACCTTCCTGGTGTATGATTTTATGAATCTTGAATTCTCTTTGTTGCTCATAGGTTTTTAGTGGTTTTTTTTCCCTTTAAGAAAATTACCTGAAACTAATAGAACTTGTTTGTTGTTACAGATATGAAGACAAACATGCCTGTCATCACGTCAGAGAAGTAAGTCACCATGAACTCTGGCTTTGGGGAAAGTCATGGTTTAAGTCACATCTGTTTTAGGTAGTCTGCCCGAAGTGCCAGTCCAAGCCACACTTTCTCTTTGTTGTTTTTTTGGTAGCAGATGTATGTTTGAAAATTATGTCTGAATTTAATGTGGATCAAATCATTTTTGAAATGCGTTAAGTTTGCTTAAATAATCGTTTGCCAGCTGCATTCCTTCCAAAATACCAGTAACTATCCTGTAAAGGCTCTTTTTTAAGTGCTCAGATGCTTGGACCTGGGTTGCAGGCTGGCATCCTGCACTGTGTGGGCCCAGACGGTCCTGTCCTCCCTCCTGCCGCACTGTGGAATGGAACAGGCTTCCACAGAGGCCGTTCCTCGTTCGCACCTAGACCTTCCCCAAGCATTTCTCCCTGACTGCACCAAACACATACCCTGCCTGGCTGATCACTGCACCTCCTCAGTCCTGCTCACGAGTCACCTCTCCTTTGTTTCTTGCCACGGCCAAGACCAAGGATTCAGAAATAGCCAGAGCCCATCCGTAAGAACTGCATCCTCCTTAGGTTGGTCATAAAGATGATACGAGGTCAAGCCAGTTTGAGTATGTGAGCGCTACAGTATAGCATTCTAAGAAGTTTTATTGATCCTTATATTAATTTGCTCAGACCAACCCAACAAAGCACCATAAACTAAATTGCTTGAAACAATAGAAATTTATGCTTTCACAGTTCAGGAGGCCAGAAGTCCAAACTGCTGTCACCAGGGCGGCCTCCCCAGAAGGCTCCAGGGCAGGTGGCGCTCAGCAGGCCTGGGTGTCCTCGGCTCGCAGGCGCATTGCTCTGATCTTGGTCAGCACATGGCATTCTCCCTGTGTGCTGCTGTCCAGATTTGCTCTTTAAAGGGCATTAGTTACTGCAGTTTGGACTGGAGATTTATTTTTCAAATCTTAACCGTGCATGCGCAGCCACATCATAGGTGAGAGGACACCCTGCTGTTTGGGGGCAGCTGCGTTCTTTCCTGGTTATAAAAGTCATCCCTAGCAGGAGCCCTGGGAGGTGGTGTACTGCTGTTCCCATTTTATGGGTGGGGAAGTGGAAGCACAGGGAAGTTAAGTAGTTTGCGTGGTCTCACAGTTACAAGTGAGAAAGGGCTGAACAAAATGTACAATACCAAAGTCACTGTGTCGGCCTCACCTCTCGGGCATAGCCTCGTGAGGCTTTAATCTTTATAAATCTAAGATACATCCCTTAATATGAAGGGATGCATGTTCGTCTCCATATGGAATAAGGAGGGTATGGACAGCTTGGGAGTTCTTAGGAATCCGGGTTAAGCAGCTATAAATCTCTTTTTAGATAGCAGACTTCGGTTTCCTTGTTTAATTGTGTGAGAGGGGGCAGTTTATAAATATGACATAATCACTAAACAGAGGCAAAATAAGGTGGAAAGTGAAACTGCATCTGCCTTCTCATAAGCCAAATACTTTTCAGAGAATCACCATATGAAGAGGCGAAAAATACTTGCTTCATATTTTCTTGGGCCTTCTGATCTTCAGTGTCCAACACATGGGAGTTCTTACATCATGTGTCTTATCCCAGCAGACTTGTTAAGTGTGGATGGTCTTGCCTATAACTTTTTGTAATTAGGGAAGTGTTTAAGTGTTGTTGTCAAGTTTTAAAAATGTTACATGTATTTTCTCTTTAAAATATACTCTGGCGGCTCAGCGCCTGTGGCTCAAGCGGCTAAGGCGCCAGCCACATACAGCTAAGGTGGTGGGTTCGAATCCCCAGCCCGGGCCCGCCAAACAACAATGATGGCTGCAACCAAAAAATAGCCAGGCGTTG